TTTTACCAAATATAAACAAGGAAAGAAAACTCTTCTTGATACGAAGTATATCACAATCAACTTAATTCATCATCAAGACAAGGGAAAATATTTTAAAAATTGAACATCCTTCAAGGAAAAAAATATTAAAATCATGATAAACATATTTCAAATTAACTTAGCCAGAGAAAATCAGCCAATTACCATGTATAAACAAGCAATCAAGTAAAGTCATTCATCACAAAGGACTAATATTGAGGCTAAAATATATCAACAATTAGAGATCAATTAGAGGCAGAGGATTTGGGATAACCAATCAGCCCGAGCATGACATGATTTTAAAAATGTTTTAAGATATGTTGAAATAATTTGAGATAGAGAGCAGTTAATCACAAGCAATACTATTAGAGCCGAAATTGATTCAGTCGTATAAAAAAAGGTTCAAAACTTAAGACAATACATCAAGGATATTTCAAATTGGCGATCTTATATGATTAAGACTAATAATATGGTCGAAACGAAAGAAGGCAGGATTTTGATACCTCAACTTGATTTGTTGATTGCTTCTTTGGTTGATTGATTCTTGAAGACAAGCATACTGACAGTGACACAGATCCATTTCTGCTTTCATTTCCTGCTAGTTTGGTTGCACTTGGGCTTAAAAGCGACTTTCCAATCTTAATCTTAAGGCTATTGGTATTGCTTCAACCCACTTGGTGAAGTAGTCTGTAGCGGTGATAACAAAATGGTATGGAAAACAAAATAATATATCTACACATTTTGCTTGTTTGCAATCTGTACAACAGTAAACGAAAGTGAAAAACCTGTGTACGATCTGAGCACACAACAATAGGATAATGGAACACAAATCAACAACTAAGATCAAATCGAACATGCCAAACACACACTCTCGAAGCAATCATTCCACAATAACCAAAGATGTAATGAAAAAGATTTAAATCATTTGGATTAAAACTTACTAGGACGGATCTGTTGAGATCCGTCATTGAACTCGAACATTCGCCGGAGATAGAGATTCAATTGTTCATTCTTATAGTTGTTGCTGACCGGAGTTGGTGTTTCTCTCCTCGCCAGAATGTTGGTTTTTCTACTTGTTTGGCGCTGCTGCTTGTGTTTGTTGACCGGGGCTGCTGGAGTTGCTGATCGTCGGACGCTGCCAGCGGCTGCTGGCTGGTGTCTTCTTCGCCGGTGGGGGGCTGCTGGTCGCTGCTAGTTTGATGCTGCCTTTTCTGCTTTCTCTGGAAAAGGAGACGAGGAGAGCGAGGGGGTGGCGCTGCCTCGCGCCTGTGGCTGCTGGCTGCGTGCAGCTGCTGCTACGGGGAGAGAGAAGGGAGAAGAAGAGAAGAAGGGGGAGAAGGAAGAGAAGGGAGTAGAAGAAGGGGAGAGCGATGGGAAAAGGACGGTGCGCCTGGAAACTGCTTCTTCCGGCGGCTGCTGGTTGGTCGGAGAAGGGGGAGAGGGATGGCAGAAGAGGGAGAAGAGGGGGGTGGCGGCTAGAGAGAGGGGAGGAAGAGAAGGAGAAGGTTGGGCGATGGGATGGAGGCAGAAAGGGAATGAGAGAGGGGAGAGGGGAGAAGAGAAAGACGAAGGAGGAGCGAGAGGGAGAGCTCACCGGCGATGATGGCTCTCGCCGAGAAAAATGGAGGAGAGGAAGAGAGAAGGCAGAGGGGAGGCGGTTGGAGAGGAAGAGAAGGAAAAACTGAATTTTAGGTTTTGGGTGTTTTGGTGTTAAAAGAGAGATTCAAAAGGGATGATCTCAACCATTAGATTAGATAGAGATGAAGGGTTAAAATTTGATCTAGGATTTATTTTTTAGATGGACGGATGAGATTAAAAGATGAATAATTAAAATCAAACTGGTTGGAGGATTTGAATGGCTAAAATTACAATTAAACTGGCTAGAATTGAAATGAAAGAGTGGTTACGATTAGAATAAAATTTGAAGTGGAGTGGCTAGAATTGATAGAATAGGCTAGAATTTAAATAATTTTAAGAAAAGTGTAGGAATTACTATTTAATTAAAATACTACATATATTAAAATATTTTATATAATTAAAAATCATTTAAATTTTAAAAATATTTGAAATTCATTAATAATTTTAAAATATTTTAATAATATTTACGATAACCTAATAGAGTAAAACATACTAAAATATATAATTTTCAAGCAAAGTCGGCTAAAAATTCTAAAATTTAAAATACGTATTTAATCGAATAGTATTCCTAAAAATGGTCAAAGGTCGGTCAAAATTGGGTGTCAACATCTGCCCCTTGGTTGATTGAGAATGAAGAATGAATTGTCAGGCAACCAAGGTTGACTTAGTAGCCGATTTTGTCCGACCAACGACAGATGTCAGTGGGATCAATTGAAACGATATAGAGCTGAAAGGGTACGACCGAGACTTTGGTTTTAAGTCGCCTATATATCTATGGTTATATGAGAATCAGGTTGTGTGTAGTTCTAGATTCAAGAGCAAATGAAACTCTTAAAAGTTGAAGAGCGCTAAGGTATTTGAAAGGCACGTTATCGGCTTGAATAGATAAGATTAGAGTAGCGAGAAAAGAGAGATAGAGTTGCTAAAAGAGCATGACAGAGAATCGAGAAGAGCATGATAGAATGAGGTCATCAGCCTTTGACCACGGTTCAATGTATGAATAGCAAAGAATTGATAGGGTTTTTGTTGTGATAGATGATAGCATGATAATTGTAATCAAGGGCGATCGATCATATCTGCAAATCCTAGATAAAAATGTTAGCTTATAAATAGATAAAGTACGACCAATAATAATAAAATATGAGTTCTATATAGACAAGAGGTGATAAAAAGCGTATCTGTTTGAGACGTAGTGCAAGTCTTGATATTCTTTAACTTCTTGAAGGATTGAAACCCATCTCGAAAGAATAACATCAAGCTCCAATAGATTTGATAGAATAGCGATATAATACTAAGAAAAATCTCTGGCTGTTAGTAGAGTCTAAACATCATTTTAAGGTGGACGAGCCTAAGTGTAATTTTAAGGCGGACGGCCTAAATATCTTATTAAGCGGACGAATAAATGTCCCATGAGGCGGACAAGCCTAAATTTCCCTTTAAGGTGGACCGCCTAAATGTTCTATTGTAAGGTGGACTAGCCTAGATGTCGCATTGCAAGGCGGACGAGCCTAGATAAAGAGACAGTAGGTCACAATGGCGAGTTGAATCCGAAGACGGTAGACTGAATTATAGATGAGTGGCAAAATGATAGTGCGAGTAGTTGAGAATTTGTTGGAGCCTTTGTTTGTAAGCAAGTGAACAACCGTTTAAAAGGAGACTTTGTCTGTGATCTGCACATCTGTAACTTGTAATATAGCTTAAATAGAGTATTAGAACATATAAGCGGCATATGTAACCGTGATGCAATTCCCATGTTGACCATAAATGTTTGCCTTACGATTGTAAAAAAATGACGTCTTAGGCTATGATGTCTAGGGCCATCATATGCAAAGTGTATCCTTAGGTCATGGAAATGTTGTTTGTAGGCCATGAAAATGACACCTTTAGACTACGACACCTTCGGATCATGATAGACATAAATTAAACCCTTAGGCAATGATATGATGTCTGCAGGCCATGAAGATGATTCCCTTAGACTATGACGCCTTAGGAACATGATATGCATAAAATAAGTCCCCAGGCCATGACATGAAGTCCGCAGGCCATGAAAGATGATGCCTTTGGAGAATGACGCCTTTGGAATATAAGTTATGAGTAAAGAGAGCGTATCTATTTTTGGCATCTGTTGATACTTATGACTTGATTTGATTCGGGCACGTGTAAACTTCGAGCACGATGCAATCTTAGGCTTATGCAAACTTCGGGCACAATGAAGTTTCAGGCACAATGCGATGATGCATTTCTTTGGGCACATGCAGTATCGAGCACATGCAATGATGCATTTCATAGGGCACATGCAGTATCGAGCACATGTAATAATGGATTTTTTTGGGCACATGCAATATTGGGCACATACAATGATGCATTTCTTCGGGCACATGCAATATCGAGCACATGCAATGATGCAATTCTTCGAGCATAAGTCAATCTTGGGCACATGCGATGATGTATTTCTTCGGGCACATCCAATATTGGGCACATGCAATGATGCATTTCTTCGGGTACATGTAATATCGAACACATGCAATGATGCATTTCTTCGGGCACATATAATATCAAGCACATGCAACGATGCATTTCTTCGGGCACATGCAATATCGAAATGATGCATTTCTGCAATCTCGGGCATAATATAATGATGTAGTTCTTCGAGCATAATGCGATATCAGGCGTAGGTGCAAATGATCCAATATCGGGCAGAATGTAAGTTGCCAGCACAACAGTTACTTGAGGGCGTACAGTAACTTGGGCGTCCGCCTTATTAGAAGGGTCAGGTGTCATTTGTTGGGCTCAAATGTGGTAATGTGTATTGTTGAAGTTGCCTTTGTATATGTACCTGTATTTTCTACATTCAAAGAAAAATAGTTAATGTAAAGGGGGCAGGTTGATCTGTATCCATAATTTGGCACAGTGTGCTCCTTTTGCTTGCCATCTACACCTCTTCGAGCGTCTGTTTTTCATAAAAAGGGGGAAAAACTTTGAAGGTTTTGAAATTATCATTTAGTAAAAGTTGATGTCGAATCATTGACCATGGCAAAGGTTGAGACTTTACAACGTCTAACTCAAAAGTAGAGCTATCATTTGATCTTCGTTGTAAGCTGACTGCTTGGCAAAATTTTTGAGTTTACTCGAAAATTCTGCCCTAGTGTGAAGATGTGCCAAGAGAAATCTTGATAGAATTTTTGAGATCCTCTCAAAAAATCTGCCTAAGTTATCAATAGAAAAAGGGAAATGAAAGTTTTATTTATAATAAGACCGAACCCCATAGGAGCGCCTACGTATCCCCTCTTAAACGGGAATCAGGTCTGACGTAGTTCCAATTACAAAAGAGCATGAATCAATCTCTAGATGTAATATTTTTTCATAGAATCTGAATAGATAGGTTTTGGCCAAACTTCTCCATCAATTTCTGCAAGTATGAGGGCTCCGCCTGTCAGTACTCGAGAGACTACGTACAGACCTTGCCATTTTGGTGAAAATTTACCCTTTGCCTCGTCTTGATTTGGGAAAATCCGCTTCAAAACCAGTTGCCCAGGTGAGAAATGTCTGGGTTTAACCTTTTTGTTGAAAGCTCTGGCTATTCTATTCTGATAGAGCTGACCATGACAAATTCTTCTTCCATCTACTATTGTCAAAGTCTCTGCCTGACCTTGTATCCAGTCAGCGTCACTCAACTTTGCTTCTTGGATGATCCTTAGGGAAGGTATTTCTACTTCGATGGGTATCACAGCTTCTGTGCCGTATACTAACAAGCAAGGTGTGGCCTCTGTGGAAGTTCTGGTTGTGGTACGATACCCCAGCAATGTGAAAGGTAGCTTTTCCTGCCAGTGTTTGTGGTTATCGATCATCTTGCGCAATATCCTTTTGATGTTTTTGTTTGCTGCCTCAACAACCCTGTTCATTAGTGGCATGTATGTTGTAGAGTTTCGATGACTGATCTTGAACTCCTCACACATTGATCTCATTAGGTCAATGTTTAGGTTGGTGCCATTGTCGGAGATGATTGACTCAGGATTTCCAAACCTACAAATAATGTTATTTTTGAAAAAGTCATCCACAACTTTCTTTGTCACTGATTTATGGGAGGTGGCCTCAACCCACATGGTGAAATAGTCAATTCCGACAAGAATGAATCTGTGCCCATTGGATGCTGGTTTCTCGATTGGACCAATGACATCCATGCCCATGCTGTGAACGGCCAAGGCGAACTAGTGACATGGAGTTTGGTTGGGGTACTCGAATCATATCTGCGTGAGTCTGACATTAACGACATTTCTGGACGTAGCGAATGCAGTTTGTCTCCAAAGTTAGCCAATAATATCCTGATCTCAGAATCTTCTTTGCTAATGTAAAACAATTCATATGAGGGACACAGGTGCCTGTATGTACCTCTTCGACCAGCCTGCGAGCCTGTCTTGCTTCGACGTATCTTAGCAGCCCCAAATCGGGAGGTCTCCTATAGAGGATTTCCCCACTTAAAAAGAATTGGGTTGCAAACCTTTGAATTGTACACTTTTGTACACTTGTTGCATCTTCTGTGTATTCACCACTCTTCAAATATCCTCTAATGTCATCGTACCAGGGCTTTCTATCAGGCTCTTTCTCAACATGGAAACAATAAGCTGGTTGTTCATGTATGTGAATGTAAATTGGATCGATGTAATTGTGATCAGGGTGTCAAATCATAGAAGACAGAGTGTCTAAGGCGTCTGCGAATTCATTTTGGACCCTTGGTACATGTCTAAATTCTGTTTTGCCAAACCTTTTTCATAGCCTATGCACGCACTCCAAATATGGTAACAACTTTTGATTTTTTGTTGCCCAATCACCTCGGACCTGATGGATCAATAGGTTTGAATCCCCTATTATTAGCATTTCTTGGACATCCAAGTCAATCTCCCGTCGTAGACCTAGTGTGCAGGCTTCATATTCGGCCATATTGTTTGAGCAAAGGAATCTGAGTTTTGCTGATACTGGATATTGTTGCCCGGTGAGTAAGATCAAAACAGCCCCGATGCCGGATCCGTTCAGATTTTTAGCTCCATCAAAGAACATTCTCCATCCATCATATTCTTCAGAAATGACCTCTCCCACAAAGGCTACCTCTTCATCTGGGAAGTAGGTATTCAACGGCCTGTAATCATCATCCACGGGATTCTCTGCCATGTGGTCTGCTAATGCCTGTGCTTTCACTGCTTTTTGCGTGACATACACTATGTCAAACTCGCTCAACAAAATCTGCCATTTTGCCAGTTTACCTGTGGGCATGGGCTTTTGAAAGATATACTTCAAAGGATCCATCCTTGAAATAAGATAAGTAGTATGCGATGAGAAATAATGTCATAACTTTTGGGCAACCCATGTTAGAGCACAACAGGTACGCTCTAATAGAGAGTATCGGGCTTCGCACGACGTGAACTTCCTTCTCATATAATATATTGCCTGCTCCTTCTTCCCTGTTTCATCGTGTTGTCCCAAGATGCAACTGAAAGCATTATCCAATACTGAAATATACAAAAGTAATGGTCTACCTGACTCTGGTGGAACCAACACAGGAGGATTGGATAGATAGTCTTTGATCTTGTCAAATGCCTGTTGACATTCGCTTGTCCATTTCACCGCAACATCCTTTTTTAACAGCTTGAAGATAGGTTCACAGAAGACAGTAGACTGAGCTATGAAACGACTAATGTAGTTAAGTCGCCCTAAAAAACTCATTACCTCCTTCTTGCTTTTTGGCGGGGGAAGGTCACAAATGACTTTGATCTTTGATTGGTCCAATTCTATACCTCGATGACTGACAATGAAACCTAAAAGCTTTCCAGCAGGCGCACCAAATACACATTTTTTGTCGGATTCAGTTTCAGATTGTACTTGCGTAGCCTTGCAAATAATTTCAGTAAGTCCTCCAGATGATTTGAACTTTCCTTTGATTTGATGATGACATCATCCACATAAACTTCAATTTCCTTATGGATCTTGTCATGAAACAAAGTAGTCATTGTTCTCATGTACGTAGCCTCAACGTTCTTTAATACAAAAGGCATTACATTGTAGTTATAGACGCCTCACGACGTGATGAAGGCAGTTTTCTCAGCGTCCTCTTTGTGCATCTCAATTTGATGATAGCCGACAAAACAATCCACAAATGACTGAGTTTCGTGCTTAGCACAATTGTCAATCAGTATGTGTATGTTTTGCAAGGGAAAGTTATCTTTAGGGATAGCTTTATTAAAATCTCGGTAATCCACGCAAACTCTGACCTTGCCGTCTTTCTTGGGCACTGGAACGACATTTGAAAGCCAAGTTGGGTATTCTGTCACTTGGATTATCCCAACGTTTAATTGCTTTGATACTTCTTCTTTGATTTTCAGACTCATCTCGGGCTTGTATTTTCTCAGCTTCTGTTTTACCGGAGGACATACTGGATCAGTGAGCAGTCGATGGGCTATGATTGAAGTACTTAGCCCTGTCATGTCTGTATAGGACCATGCAAAAATATCCTTATTCTCTATGAGAAACTCGGTATACTCTTTCTTGTCTTTTTTTGTCATATGGATGCTTACTCGGGTTTCTCGTATCACCTCTGCATTTCCCAAATTCACCACTTCTGTCTCTACCAAGTTGGGATTGGGTTTTTCCTCGAATTCCTCGACCCTTTTGATTAACTCCTAGGGAACCTCATTGTCTTCGACTTCTTCTAAGTCATTAATGTTAAGTTGAGCAGTCTCATTGTATCCCATAGTCTTAGATTCAACATTTTTATAGTGAATTTTGCCGGTGAGAAAAAAAAATAGTGTACAATTAAATATAAGGCAAAAATGGGGAAAATAACTTTATTGATAATGATTTGAAAATTTCATAAGTTCTCATTTGAAAGCAATACAGGGGATGGGAATTAAAATGTTTATTAAAAACTCTTTTTATTTGAATTAAAACTTGATAGAAAACATCTTCAAAGGCTACCTAGATTCTCGACGAGGTCTGGATGGAGTCGAGGTCCAGTTCGTGACGCTGATCTTTGGTTCCTTGCTTCCACTAGTGCCCCATTTCTCCTCCTCGTTGATCACGACGTTGCAAACTTTCCCCTCTTCTTTGGTAAGCGACAACCCCTTCAAGTCGTTTGAGATCTCATCAATACTGCCTCCCATGAAACCTGCTGATTGAAATGATTGATGCAATGGCGGTATGGGTTTCTTCAATGGATAGTAGTACCCATATCTAGGTGGTTGCCAATCGAGCCATTCTTCGATAGTCTACTTATATCCCAAGCCAAAAGTGGTGAAATGTCGAACAGGCTGTATAGGTTCGACTATCCCTTGCAATTCAGCACCCAAACCTTTCCCAAGATCGAAACCGAACCAAGCCATCATATCTATGATTTTTGGCTGAACCATGACTGCAACTCAATATTACCAACAAGCTCCACTGTATGGTACATTTCACCATCCATGTGCTCTCTTCCTTCAATCGTGTATACATGATGCCTTTTTCTCCATGGACTACAACCTCTTCGTAATCCCATTCAAACTTTAGGCATTGGTGAAGAGTAGATGGAACCGCTCCAGCCATATGAATCCATGGACGACCCAACAATAAGTTATACAATGAAGGGATGTACAAAATTTGGAAAGCTATGGGGAAAGTTACAGGACCAATGAGCATGTCCAAGGTTATCTCCCCAATAGTGCCTCTCTGAGAGCCGTCAAATGCCCTCACATTCATCTTCCATGTCTGAATTTTTACACTATCCACGCCCAGCCTCGTCAGTGTGCTCAGAGGGCAAATGTTTAAACTTGAACCTGCATCAACTTATGCTTTTTTATCACCTTATCCTGATACTGAACCAAAATGTACAGAGCTTCATTATGAGTTGTTCCTTCAAGTGGCACCTCATCTTTGTGAAAAGATACTTTGTAAGCCTCAAAGACCTGCCCCACCATTTGGGATACCTCTCCATTAGTGATGTTAGATGGGACATAAGCTTCACCAAGGATCTACAGAAGGGCATTTCGATGAGTTTCGGAAGATTGCAGTAATGCCAGAATTGATATTTGGGATGGGGTTTTACTCAGCTGCTTAATGACAGAGTATTCTTTAGCTTGATCCTTTTTCCAAATACCTTGATCTTCAAGCTCTAGGACTGGTGCTTTGGATTTGCTAGAGCTTCCCTGAACAAAATTTTCTGAAGTGTAAATTCTTCCGGATCTGGTGACCCCTGTTACAACATCTGTCTCTTCCACTTTCATTTCTCTTTTGTTGTAATTCCAAGGTACAACATGTGTATCACATTGTATTGGGGGAGATTCCATATAGACAATGAACGGTGGTCTGGGTGCAGCAACTTCTACTTCAAATGGGGCGAGTCGTCGCACTATTAGCGGTGCTTGGGCGGTGGTAGACATGGCTTCTTCTGTTTCGAGGGTCCAAATAGATTCTTCCTAATCTCATACATCACCAGCTTCCACCATGTTGACTTGATTGTTAGGAAGAGGATTATTCGTAACATTCGGTGTAGGATACTTGAGTTGGATGGTTTTTGTATCAATCAACATTTGAACCTTATCCTTAAGGGCTCTGCAAACTTTGGTGGTGTGACCCTTCATCCTAGAATGGTAGGCACAGACCTTGTTAGGGTCGTACCATTTTGTGCGAACATCCACAGGTAATGCAGGAATTGGGGAGACGTACCAAGCCTGTTACAGCCTTTCATAAAGTTGTGTTATGGGTTCAACCAAAGGGTTATAAATTTTTGTAGGTCTTCTTTCATATGGAGGTCTAATTTGATAATTTGGTGTTTTATTGGGTGGTGGAGTTTTGATGTGTGTTGGTTGAACATTATAGACAGGATATGAGGCATGCAAATATTGAGGGGGAACATTTTTGTAAAATATTTGCATGGGTTGGGGAGATATAGGGGGTGGAGCTGAGGGATGTTGAGGGTATGGGGTGTGAGGGTATGGGGATGGTGGTGGGTTTATTGTCTTGTGCCTCAAAGGGGTCTTAGTTCCATGAGCCATCATTACAGAACCTGTTTACTTTCGACTTTTTGTCATTCCACAAGATTGCAGGGCCTTGTTGGTTGCTTGTAAAGCCTCCAAGTTGATGATAGTCCCCTTCTTAATGACTTCTTCAATTATTTCGCCTAATTTGATGATTTCAACGAAACTCTTTTCACCCACCAGCA